GTTTTTTTTATGCGCATTTGCAAAATAAAATAAAATATAGTAAAAATAAAATAATAAAATAGGTGGATGGCTAAAACAGCTATTGAGTTTTATTTTTATATTATCAATTTCCTTACAGCCATGATAAAGTTAAGTAACATAACATATTTCGTCGTTGGGTCGAGCTTCAGCTGGGCCAGTTGACATTTCTGTGTGGAGTTTGCATGTTCTCCCCATGTTGGCATGGGATGCTCCGGTTTCCCCTACAAGTCCAAACACACGTGGTATAGGCTAAATTGACCGTAGTGGATGAGGGTGTATGGATGTTTCCCAGTACTGGGTTGCAGCTGGAACGGCAATCCGCTGTGTAAAACATATGCAGGATAAGTTGGCGGTTCATTCTGCTGTGGGGGACCCCAAGTTAATAAAGGGACTAAGCCGAAAAGAAAATGAATGATTGAACATATATTTCCTGGTTATTCAAAAGCATCAAAGCGACTCTCCATTGCTTTCAGGAGCTGTTTCTGCTTTAAACCCGGCTCTAATATTAAGTTGCACAACAGTGACCCTCGTCATGAACAAAAACTCTTTTCATGGCATTTTGTTTAAGTATGCGTATACGCCAGGCTTTATGAAACAAGCTTGTGTCCTGAGTGCCCGTGTCAGCTTTTCCATGCCGGATCAGGGTGGAAGAGAACTAGCGGACATTTATTTTCCTAACCTTTCTTTCATTCTTGAATCCTTATGCTTGAGTATAAGCGCTGTTTACTAGAAGAGCTGACCGACTGACCTTCAGCACATAGGATGAGTCCACAATGTTCATGCTTCATGACAGTAGACAGAGCTTAACAAACAGACGCAGATGCATCATTAAAAATGGTAACTGTCTTGTAGATTTCTGAGCAGTTTATTTAAGCTTGGCTGATTGTTTGTCATGATGCATGCTTGTGTTATACTGTCATATGCTTTGTAAAATGTCTCACAGCGCTAACAGGTCTGTAATTAGATGTTATAATGGAGTGTCAAGCTTTATGACTGGTGTTTAACATGCTTATGTGATTGTTTATGAGCTTTTATTAGCTCACTGATTTGTTTTTCCACACTTAAAGAGAGCAAGAGAGAGAAAGAGGTAGACGGTTGTTTTATTTGCATGTTAAGCTGAATGGTTTCCGATAGGGCTGCACATTATATCGTGTGCATCCGCAATAGAGTTTGAATTATAGTTGATCAGGAGCTACAGATTTGTATTTAATCACTGTATTTAAATGGAATTTATATGATTTAGATGATCTTGTTTCTAGTCCAAATATCTACATTTTAAAGCAAGATTATTGTACTTATACCATTGGCAGATAATTTAGCTTGTTTTAAGGAAAAACAATAATAGTTTTCTCTTATTTCTTCTGATGGTGAAAACTAAAGAATATTTTTACTTGCTCTCAGATTTTTTTTTTGATATTTGGACTAGAAACAAGACAAAACAAAGTAAGAAAAGCATTTTTTATTGTGATTATTTAATTTTTGTACCTGAATACTGTAGAAAAATACCCAGAAAATCATCAAATAGTGTGGTTCAAACTGTCTTTTGAAACTCGATATAAAGTTGAAGTCAAAGTTGTTTAACTCCCTGAATTAATAGCCCCTGTTTATTTTCCCCCAATTTCTGTTTATCTGAGAGAAGATTTCTTCAACACGTTTGTAAACATAATAGATTTAATAAATCATCTCTAATAGCTGATTTATTTTATCTTTGCCATGATGACAGTAAATAATATATGACTAGATATTTTTCAAGACACATCTATACAGCTTAAAGTGACATTTAAAGGCTTAACTAGGTTAATTAGGTTCACTAGGCAGGTTAGGGTAATTAGGCAAGTTATTGTATAACGATGGTTTGTTCTGTAGACTATCGAGAAAAAATAGCTTAAAGGGGCTATAATGGGGTTATAATAATAATGACCTTAAAATGGGTTTTAAAAAATTTAAAACTGCTTTTATCCTTGCCGAAATAAAACAAATAAGACTTTCTCCAGAAGAAAAAATATTATCAGACATACTGTGAAAACTTCCTTGCTCTTTTAAAAATCATTTGGGAAATATTTAAAAAAAGAGGGGGCTAATAATTCTGATTCAACTGTGTGTGTGTGTATATATAAATGTATGTATTTATGCATATATGTATATATATAAATACAAATAAATTGTCAAAAAACATGTCAGAACATACTATAAAGTTCTTGGAAAAACACATATACAAAATAAATACATATACAAAATATAAAAATGACAAAGCACCACTACAATGATCTTTTATGCATCCTTTAAAAATATTAAAGAATAACAAATAATTTCTTTGCTGTAAAGAATAGTTAATTCTATAATCTAATATCCCTAAATTTTATTGAGTATTGATCTATTAAGAACTGATGTGGAAAATAACATTGATTCTGTGAATTTACTTTAAATATACTATACACTTGTCTGCCATGGTACCCTTACTTGAATATATATATATATATATATATATATATATATATATATATATATATATATATATATATATATATATATATACACATATACATACAGGTATTTGAATAATTTTAATATCATAATTATAGTGAAGAGGAAGTATTTGAAGAAAAGAAGCTAAACAAATGTCTCATATAAGGTCACTTTTGTTTCATGATACTCAAATTAACTTGATTTAAGTTACAGTTTTGCCCATTTTCTCTCTCTCTCTCTCTCTCTCTCTCTCTCTCTCTCTCTCTCTCTCTCTCTCTCTCTCACACACACACACACACACACACACACACACACACACACACACACACACACACACACACACACACACACACTTATTGGGCATAATGTGTTTTTCCTCAGAGCCATTGTGTTCCAGTTGTTGACCCAGTTGGCTTGGCTGTAGTTTTCCTGTTTAGGCCTCAGTGTGGCATTATTAACAGAGCAGAAACAGAGATGAGCCAAAACATAAACCAGTCTACAGAATGAATTGCATACTTTACTATGTTTGTTTAAACACGGTGTCTGGACTTCTGCAAATGAATTAATGCAAATATTAACCTCTAGAAATTGGTGGAACCTATCTTTATAAGTATGCTAGTTTTAGGGATATCTGTAGTGTGCAGTTCGTCACTTTCCTCCTAAATAGGTCAACGATTTTTTTTCACATCACCTCATACTTCAGTTTCTAATGAAATTGTTTGACCAATCAAATGCTCTCCAGTATCTGACATGCCCCGCCCACTTTAAGACACTTTTCATTTAATGCACTTGAGCTTGAACACTCATTGACAGAGCTGCAATCGGCATGTTTCAATTAAGATTAAGTCAAGTATTAAACAAAAAAGGTACATTTCAAAGCACTTCATGGGACCTTTAAGGTAGTTGTTGGGTATTACAGATGTATTACAAATAAAATAGTACAGAAGTAAAGATTTATTACAAATAAAAAACCTAAAAAATCACATGTACATCAGTATTCACAGCCTTTGCTCAATACTTTGTTGATGCACCTTTGGCAGCAATTACAGCCTTAAGTCTGTTTGAATATGATGCCACAAGCTTGGCACACTGTTTTTAGGAATTTTTGCCCGTTCCTCTTTGCAGTATCTCTCAAGCTCTATCAGGTTGGATGGTAAGCGACTGTGTACAGCCATTTTCAGATCTCTCCAGAGATGTTCAATAGGATTTAGGTCCGGGCTCTGGCTGGGCCACTTAAGGACATTCACAGAGTTGTTGTGAAGCCATTGATATTTTGGTGGTGTGCTTTGGGTCATTGTCCTACTGGAAGATGAACCATCGCCCCAGTCTGAGGTCGAGAGCACTCTGAAGCAGGTTTTCACTCAGGATGTCTCTGTACATTGCTGCATTCATCTTTCCCTCTATCCTGACTAGTCTTCCAGTTCCTGCTGCTGGAAAACATCCCCACAGCATGATGCTGCCACCACCATGCTTCACTGTAGGGATGGTATTCGCCTGGTGATGAGCGGTGCCTGCTTTTCTCCAAACGTAACGCCTGGCATTCACTCCAAAGAGTTCAATTTTAGTCTCATCAGACAAGAGAACTATGTTTCTTTTGGTCTGAGAGTCCTTCAGATGCTTTTTGACAAATTCCAGGTGGGGAGTGGCTTACGTCTGGCAAATCTACCATTGAGGCCTGATTGGTGGATTGTTGCACAGATGGTTGTCCTTATGTAAGGTTCTCCTCTCACCACAGAAGAAAGCTTGAGCTCAGACAGAGTGACCACCGGGTTATTGATCACCTTCCTGACTAAGACCCTTCTCCCCCGATCACTCAGCTTAGATTGCCGTCCAGCTCTAGGAAGAGTCCTGGTGGTTTCAAACGTCTTCCATTTACGGTTGATGGAGGCCAAGGTGCTCATTGGAACTTTCAGAGCAGCAGAAATGTTTCTGGAACCTACCCCAGCCTTGTGCCTTCCCAATCCTGTCTCGGAGGTCTACAGACAATTCCTTTGTCTTCATGCTTGGTTTGTGCTTTGACATGCACTGTCAACCCTGGGACCTTATATAGGCAGGTGTATACCTTTACAAATCATGTCCAATCAACTGAATTGACCACAAGTGAACTCCAATGAAGCTGCTGAAACATCTCAAGAATGATCAGTGGAAACAGAATGTACCTGAGCTCAATTTAGAGCTTTACGGCAAAGGCTGTGAATATTTTTCAGCTTTTTTATTTTTAATAAATTTGCTACAATTTCAAAAACTCTTTCTTTGAATTGCCATTATGGGGGGTTGTCTGTAGATTTTTGAGAAAATAAATGAATTTCATCCATTTTGGAAGAAGGCTGTAACATAAAACATGTGGAAAAAGTGAAGCGCTATGAATACTTTCCGGATGCACTGTATTTTATAAGTACTAATAAACAGACACTATCTTAATAATTGACAGGTAATAATTCACTAGTTAAATACTTAAACTAAAGTGTTACTGCCTTTTTAAAACTTTGTATTTGTGTGTGTTTTCCCCTCAGTGTGCCAGTGTTTCTCCGTTTTAGAGGATGGTGCTTTGGCTCAAAGTCTTCAAGAGCAGGAAAGTCAGTATAATCGTTCCCTTCCTGTAATTTGGCTCATCCGTCCTTATTCAACTGGGTTTAAATAGAGCTGATCTTTCTCTTCGCAGTCGAGCATTTCTACAGCACTAACATCCAGAAGAACCAGACAGTGCAGAACGATGTTCGCTTGGCCCGAAGACTCCAGGAGGAAGAGGAAGAGCGGGCAAATCTACAGCAGATGTAAGTTAAAAACCAGACCTGGACACATGCATCTTATCACTTTATCAGCACTATCAGAAAAGCACAGACTTTAATGAAATTCAAGAGAATTTGTGGATAACAGAGGCATCAAATTTGACGAGTTGATAAAGCACCACAGAAAAAACAAGTTTGTTTAATTTTTGCACCTCTTGTAGTATTTTTTAAAGTGGTGGTCCTTTACGATATCATATTTTAAACTTTAGTTGATTTGTAATGTAGCTGTGTGAACATAAACGACATCTCTGAATGTAAGACGCCCAAAGTTCAATGCAAATGGAGACATTGGCTTTTGCAGAGTTAAGCCCCTGATGTTTTGTCAAAAGCCCCTGGTCTTTTGGAATGTGTTGCACTTAAATATAAACATGTTGTTTAACATTTATTTTTAGAGTTCACACTTAGATACTGTTTGACAACTTGTTAGCAAGTTAGCAGGTTTGGCATGCTGTCCTGGGAGAGAACCCTGAGCTTGGTGATAGTTGAGTCCAGGGCTCCTGCCAGGTCCATAAAGCATGTGAGGGGAGTACGAGATCAGGTGTTCTCGAGAGCTCCCCTCGGCAAAAGAGGAAAGGAGGCGAAGGGGTGGACGGGGGGTTTCTTCGGAAAACGAAGATAAGGGAGTAGTTCTTAGCTAGGTTACTTATAGTGAGTTTGGATCAATCTGATTGGCTAGCCAATGAGTGTAGATGAGTGGCCAGCTGCAGTCAATCATATCACGTGCTCCTCTCGAAATTAGTTCGTGAAACTTCATTTCGTTATCTAAGTACTGAAAATTGCCACATGCATCATGAATATTCCTCGTTTGTGTCGGGTAATTAAATCGTCAGCTGTTCAGCGATACCTGTTTCTACCGGCAGGTGGGAGTGGCTCTGTTGTCACATGGTTTAAAAAAAATTCCGCCACTGCACTTCCTTCATTTATTATTTTGAGTAGCTGAAGCGGATGAGGTAATAATACCACTCTTTCGCGAAACTAAATAGTTCTAACTACTGATGAAGCTTAATATTTGTTTCCACAGTATAAAATGTGTGTAGTTTTGGTGAAAACAAATTACTGTAATCAATAAAATGTGCATCATATCAATGTAAACACATGCAAATTAGTCAGGAAAACGTAAACTGAGCTAGCTTTCCAGATATGATATAGATATCTACCATATTTATGGAGATATGATATAGCAGTCACATCTGTGTCTGTAATAGTTAAATCACAGTGAGTTCATGCATCTAGCATATTTTTTATAGCTACATTCTACTGGAACATGCTATGTCAGTTAGCAGGGGATTATAAATCGACTTTCTTATGAAAATACCTCAGATGGCTGGAAGAGCACATACAGTTGAAGTCCGAATTATTAGCCCCGGTTTATTTTTTCCCCCAATTTCTGTGTAACAAAGAGAAGATTTTTTCAACACATTTCTAATCAGAATAGTTTTAATATCTCATCTCTAATAACTGAGTTATTTTATCTTTGCCATGATGACAGTAAATAATATTGGACTAGATATTCTTCAAGACACTTCCATACAGCTTACAGTGACATTTAAAGGCTTTAAAGGCAGGTTAGGGTGATTAGGCAAGTTATTGTATAACAATGGTTTGTTCTGTAGACTATCGGAAAAAAACATAGCTTAAAAATTTTTGACTAAAATGGTTTTAAAAGAATTTAAAATTGCTTTTATTCTAGCTGAAATAAAACAAATAAGATTTTATTTAGAAGAAATTATTATTAGGCATACTGTGAACATTTCCTTGCTCTGTTAAACATCATTTGAGAAATATTTTTTAAAAATTCAAAGGGGGCTATTAAGGGCCTACTCACACTATGCCATTCGTACCGTGCCCAGGCCCGTTTCCCGGATCGTTTGAGAAGTGTGAGTGCGCTGAATCGGGCTCAAGCACGGTTCACTTGGCTGGCCCTGGCCCGGTTGGAAGAGGTAGGCCTGAGCACGGTTCACTTGGGCTTTGGCGCGGTATGCTTGTGTGTGAGTGCAAAACGCGCCAAAGCCCGAAACTGAAAGCGAGACGTGACTTTTAAGGGGCTGTTTCATATGGATTTGTTAATCATTCTTACTGTTCAGTGAACGCAAACTGCCGTAGTTTATTAAAGACGCAAACCCCTCACTGCACGACAGCTGCGCGCCTTCAGCAGACCTCCTCATTCCTGCAACACGAGGGCTTTATGATTGTTTATGAGCGTCAAAAGTGGCGGATCTGTTCGGCAAAATATCTGACTGCGTGCCACCGCATCCCTAAGGACTGTTTGGCGAAATATTTGACGGCATATCAAACGACTGAAACGATATAACTAGAGAAATCTCCACTGTGCGGCTGAGTGAGAGCGCTTCTCACTGAACAGCGCAGCAGCGCGCAGTCAAAGTAGACGGGAGGGGGGACAAGTGTGCTTTGGCCAGGTTTGAGGCAACTGTACCTAGTGTGAGTACGGCCTAATTCTGACTTCAACTGTATCAAGCATTTATTGTCACAGTCGTGTAAATGATCAGTTAAAGCCTTTTTATGTTTATTCAGATCTTATTTTCATTCATCTACAGCAATAGCTGGATTCCTTTATCCATATTAGAGATTCCTAGAAATGTTCTACTACTTTTTTTAGGCATATATGGAATTTCTGCTCGATGAATGAATGAATGAAACAGGCATTATGCATTTAAAGTGCTACAATGCCCACATTAACCTATTTTGAGGAAAACTGAAAGTAAGAATATTTCTAGCATATAGATCTTTATTTTTATTTGTTGTACTATTTTTTATACACTTGTCATTATATCAATAAGAGTATGCTATTGAATATCAATATTTTGGGAGGTATTGAATTTAGAAATTCCAGTATCTGGACAACACTACACCTTAGTTAATCACTCTGTCCAAATGAACATGTTTGTAGCTTTGCATCACATTGGATAACAACTCACACTATCAAATAAATCATATTTTCATATTTGAAGACATGCACACAAATACATGTTCAAAAAACAAACAGAAACTGCAAATCAGGAGGAGATAGGAGGCTCAAGAGGTCTGGCTCATAACAGAATAGTAAACGAGAAGTGGGTTCATTTATCAATGTTTTTTTCCTTTTGGTGTTACAAGTCACAAAGCTTCGCAATTTATTGTTAAAAACTGTCAACTCAAAAACCCTTTGTTTATTATTAAACCATTAATGATCATATTATTAAGATTAGAGTAGATCAGAGTGAAGTGGGGGGGTGCTTTTTTGGGGGGCTAAGCCCCTTATCCCTTTCGACCCTAGCAACGCCCCTGCTCGAGGGTCGCAGCTCTTCACAGTTTAGTTTCAATCCTAATTAAACTAAGTGAGTCTTTCAGGCTTCTTTGAAACCTACAGGTAAGTGTGTTGGAGCAGAGTTGGAACTAAACTGTGCAGGACTGCGGCCCTCCAGGAACTGAAGCATCATGTTTTAAAGCAATATAGCTGAAATTTGAACAGTAAGTCCAACATTTCGAACAAGCACTAAAGCAATAAGCATATATTATAATTATCATTTGAATATATTACATTGTGACGCAGTGGCACAGTAGGTAGTGCTGTCGCCTCTCAGCAAGAAGGTCGCTGGTTCGAACCTCAGCTCAGTTGGCGTTTCTGTGTGGAGTTTGCATGTTCTCCCTGAGTTTGCGTGGGTTTCCCCCGGGTGCTCCAGTATCCCCCACAGTCCAAACATGCGGTACAGGTGAATTGGGTAGGCTAAATTGTCTGTAGTGTGTGTGTGTGTTAATGAGTGTGTGGATATATGTTTCCCAGAGATTGATTGCCGCTGGAAAGGCATTCGCTGCGTAAAAATATGCTGGATAAGTTGGCGGCCCCGGATTAATAATAGGACTAAGCTGAAAAGAAAATGAATAAATATATTACATAGTCAATATCGTATATTTCATATCAACAATGATAGCTGTATGTGTGGTTTACAGAGAGGAAGAGGACTGTAGATATGCACTGATGATCCAGCAACAGCTGCAGAGATGTGCAGAGGAGGCCAGGAGACAAGAAAAACAGGATGAGGTGGGGATTTGTTTTTATGCAAAGTCATGCTGAAAAACTACATTACCCATGATGCACCACAGAACAGCTTTCTTTACTTCAATTTTCCTTTATCTCTTGACCGACTTATTTATTTTGCTTCTAATCAAAGTTTGTATTACTTTGGTTTGCTTTGTAGTTAGTTGGTTTGGTTCATGCATTTTTAAAAATATGTAGTGATCATATTAAACGTTGTGATTTATTTAACTCATTTCTGTATTATGAGTGGCTTATCATCTCTTCCTACTGTTGTTGAATAAGTTCAACCAGAATGTTCTGAAACTCAACCACAGAAACAGCCACTGAAAAAAAAACTTAAATAATTTGTGATTTACTTTCAAAGCACATGGAAATTGCTAGTTAAAGAGAGAAATTAACAATCTAAATGTTTCTGAATTAGTTTTTTTGTGTGTGTGTGTGTGTGTGTTTGTGTGAAGCGCCAAAAAAGGATATTTTAAGGATGTTGGAAACTGGTAACTGACATCCATTGTGTTTTTTCATACTATGGGAAAATATCTTCTTAAGTATCTTATATTCTTTAAAATGTAATTTTTGTGTTAAAAAGAAAAAAGGAAAACATTTTAGAAGCACTTGAGTGTGAGTGAGTTGTACGTAAATCAGAACTTTTGATTGAGCTTTCTCTTTAATTTTACTCAAATAACACATTGACTTTCCCAGTGATGAGCTGCAGCTGGAAGGGCATCTGCTGTGTAAAACATATGCTGGATAAGTTGTCGGTTCATTCCGCTGTGGCGACCCCTGATTAATAAAGGGTCCAAGCTGAAAAGAAAATGAATGAATGAAAAACACATTGACCTAAAGGGATAGTTCACCGAAAAAATAAACATTTTCTAAACCCTCACGTGTTTTCAAATGAGTAAATGTTAAGAAATTAAAAATTTTAGGGTAAACTACCCCTTTAAATGTGAATAAATAGTACCTAAAGGGTACTTAAATAGTAATTTCTTGTGATTTTGGTTTCATTTTAGACTCCAAAAATGTACTTCTTACAATTTAGATTAGCAAATTCAGAAAGCCAGTGGAACAAAGTTGTGTTCACCTTGAATTTTGGAAAAAATGTTAGTTTTGTCCATGTGTATGAATATATATATATATATTTTATATATATATATATATATTTTTTTTTTTTTTTTGCTTGATTTATTTATTTTTTCATTCATTCATTCATTCATTTATTTAATTTTTTACTTTATTTATTTCTTTATTTGTTTATATATTTTCCTATTTATTTATTTCCAGTCAAACTAAATACATAAGACCATTAAAATATATATATATATATATATATATATATATATACATATATATATATATATATACATATATACATATATAATACATATATATAACCACAGGGGGGTTAGTAATTCAGGAGGGCTAATAATTCTGACTACAATTATATAAAATATTGTTTATAAAGTATATATTTTTATCATATAACAATTAATTACTTACAATGTAGATTTGCGAATTCTCCCTCCTCTCACATGAATCTGATTGAACACCTGTGTGTAGAGGAGCTTGTGTAGTGAAGAAAAGAATGAAGAACATGATGGGCAGAACTTAAAGAGAATGAAGTGATGGAGGCCTGAATGGGATCTTGCACTCTGATATTCATTGGCTTCAAGTGTCCTTTTCTGTGCTTTATTTGTCTGTTTCTGTGGCCTAAAGGAGCAGCTTTGTCATCTGTGTTGTCAGAAGTGGTTTGTGAAATGTGTGTGTGGTGTTACTGGGGCTCATCTGAGGTCCTGCTCAAACACTGAGCTTCTGTATTATTGGAAAGAGGATTTCTGAGGCCGTCTGTCTGGAGCTCTTTATTTTGCACTTTGGAAAAATGTAGTAGTGTACTGCAGCTCTGTAGTAGTGGCACTCGTTTGAAAAGACATGTATTGTAATAAAAAAAATAACCTTGAATTTTAAAAAATGTACATTTTGTAAACTGCTTGTTTTCTGGAAATCGATATTTTATCCTCCATTCCGTCATTTTTCTTCAGCTTAGTCCTTGATTTATCAGGGGTCACCACAGAGAATGAACCACCAACTACTCTGGCATATGTTTTACGCAGCAGATGCCCTATACATTTTATCTTTATTTATTTTCATCAAATATTAATGTATGTGGCATGATGACAGCTCATACTATTTTTTAGTTATTTTGCAAAGGCTTAACTAAATTAATTAGGTTAACTATGCAAATTAAAGTAGTTAGGCAAGTCATTGGACAACGGTGGTTTGTTCTGTAGACACTCAAAAAATATATACATTTCTAAAGATATTTAACTTAGGAGTTTTCCTTTTTATTTATTTATTTATTTATTTATTTATTTTTATTACAGCCAAACTAAACTGTAAAAAATGCAGGGTTCCACACAATTCCTTCATGTTTTCCCAGCATGAATAAATTAAGTTACCTTTAAAGCTTTTACAAATTTGGGACAAAACGATTAAGTTGATTGGGTCCTGTACTAGAAGGCGGGCTTTATTCACCATTTAGCGATCGTCGATTGGCTCCTGTAGCTTCATTCGCAGTATTGACAGATACGAGTAATGACATGTCTTTTGTATTCTGTAATCTTTGCATTCATTTACTCTCAGTAACCAAATACATAGAGAGCACCTTTACCCCAGTGAATAAAATCAATGAATAAATCCAAAACCACCTGTAGAAGCATTTTCTCTCTTTCTTTATCTCTCTAAAAGAAAAAAGCTCTGTCTCTAGCACTAAATTCTCTGAGCACAAGCATGTTTCTTTTATAACTAGCACTTCTTGTATGTATTGCCTATTCTTGTTGAATCGCTGAATTTCTCCTCAATTGTAAGCCGCTTTGGACAAAAGCGTCTGCTAAATGACTAAATCTAAATGTAAGTTGTCACAAAAAGTGTAACAATTGTGTTGTTTCAACTCATTTTAAATCAGTTAGTTTGAACAAGCAGCGAAAGTATTTTTTTTCAGTGTAAATAAATAAGACTTTCTCCAGGTAAAAATCAAAAGATTATTGTTATGAAGAACTGGGTTGCACTGGTAACTGTTACGGTGCAAATCGTCTCAGTATGTATATTAACACTATTAATGTCCAATAACCATGAAAGAAAAAAACACAGACAGACTAAATTGTAGGTGTTTACTTAAATTAGGATATATTAATCCTCAAATAACAATATTATTTAAATGAAACAAAAACGTACATCAAAAGAGCGTAGGCCTGCGCAAAATAATAATGAAATAAAGGTTCACAATAGGATGTAAAGAATAATGCTGATTGCTTACAAATCAATAGTAAAGAAAACTATTATAAAAAGTCCTTTCTACACGTTCAGATACCAGGAGGTTGAATGAAGCTGGTCTTTTAGCTACAGTCTCAGGGCCGTTGGTGCACAATGAATCCTCCCGCGATGAGAAGGGCAGGAATTTCAGCCGGTACTGGATGTTGCTGAATAATTATGATACTGCTTCATACGACTCTTGCACATGTGTGGTTGTTTCTCATTGACGCACTTGCAAGGGTCGTCACGAGCGAGACTTCGGCACCGTCTATAAGCGTTATTAAAAACCATCCGCTGTCAATCCAGATTATAATACACCCTTCTGCAGTTCACAAAGTGAAGGTGCTACAGAACGAGTCGATAATTTACTGTTTTACGCCGTTAAAGGTGAGATTGTAGGACCTCTGCTTTCAAATCGCCATTCCTGAACTGATTCACTTTCGTTTTTATCATTCGGTTGACTTGAACTGAACTGAACTGATTCACGAACGCTTGCTTGATTTGGTTGATTCCTAACTGAACTGATTCGCGGTGGCGCGACTCACTAAATATGCCACACCTTTTCTTCTAAATGAGAGATGAAATAATCGTCAACAACACCTATTTTAAATGTGCATAAACTGAACAATGGCTTTTTTACAATTATACATAAATAATTTGAAATACTGTTGAAAAAATGTCCTTGCTCTGGTAAACAGCACTTATTTAAGTTTATTTGAAATATCTGAAAATAATTATTTTGTCACAGGAGGGCTATTAATTTAGTACGTAATAATGTAATGTATAATATAATATATATTGGGGGAACCCACGCGAACGCAAGGAGAACATGCAAACTCCACACAGAAACGCCAACTGAGCCGAGGTTCGAACCACCGACCTTCTTGCTTTGAGGCGACAGCACTACCTACTGCGCCACTGCATCGCCTTAATATGATGTTTTTGGGTTATAAGGTTTTTTTAAGCTCTAACGCAATAATAGTGTTGTTATTTTTTTAATTTAATGACCTCTCCGTGTCGTGTTTTTTATATCCATTTCACCAGCATTCTCAATTATTGTGGATGCAAGTGTAATGGAGGCCAGCTAGTAAGTGCTGTGCAGGTAAACCTCACTCCTCTGACCTCTAAAGGTGTTCTAGTGACATACACTAGAGGCCATGGTCCTTAGCCTCCTTGTTAGAGCAACCTACTCCCATGCGCAAGGTCGATAGTTTGATCCCAGCTTAGAGCGGGTTGGGTGATGTAGGACCGGCGGGGTTACATTGGTGCCGTGACCCAGGTGGTAGTGAGGTTTAGGGGGGTGAGTGTAACATAGGCCAGCTAATAAGTGCTTTGCAAGTAAACCTCATTCCTCTGACCTCTAAAGGTGCTCTAGTGACAGCTAACTCTATCAAACCTCTTCAGCTGCTCCAGAACGCAGCAGCACGAGTGGTCTTCAATGAACCTAAAAGAGCACATGTCTCTCCGCTGCTCATCCGTTTGCACTGGCTGCCAGTTGCTGCTCGCATCAAATTCAAAGCTCTGATGTTTGCCTACAAAGCGACTTCTGGCTTTGCTCCTTCTTATCTGCTCTCACTTCTGCAGATGTATGTGCCCTCCAGAAACTTGCGTTCTGTGAATGAACGTCGCCTCGTGGTTCCATCCCAAAGAGGGACGAAATCACTTTCCCGAACGCTCACGCTCAATCTGCCCAGTTG